CTCATTTAATTATATTTAATATAGCTCTGACTATACTATATACTTGACTACTGACCAAGAACGCACTTTAATACCTTGTGGAGAAGCGGTTCCCAAATTCAAGCACAGTGAGTTTTGGAAAGGGTTTTTTTTTTTTTTTTTAATCATGTTTGCAATTGAGATTGCACTGCTGTTTCTTGTAAATGCTCTGTAAATAAGTGATGTGTTTATTACTGAGAATGAACCAAAGACGCTCTGACTCATTTTGAATGTTAAAAGCCAGAAGAACTGCTTCCGTGTGGCTTGTTAACCTCTCTTTATATCAAACTGCAGACCAAATGGTTTTTTTGCTCCGTTTACTTTCATGTCATTGCTGCTCAAACTTATCAGCTGAAATCAGGTATGCTTCCAATAAAATGCACCGCTTTCAATGGCTTTTATTTTTCAGTTACCATTGTGGCCACTACCATTAGTTTATTTACACTTCAAACACACAAAATACCGAGGAAGGGACGTATCATCACAAGAAGACAACACATGAAACCATACACACTGTCCTCCCAGTCATCGCTCATGCATTCATCAGGCAGACTAAACATAAACATGGCCATTGCTACAAAACAAAGATCTCTCCATACCTTGTGACATGTCCTCCAAATAAAGACGTAGATTTGTGCCCTTTTCTAAAATAATTATCCGGTCTTCCCAATCATCTGAGAGATATCTTTTTAAATGCTATAGCTTGTGTCATCTCCGCCAACAGTTCTTGATTAGTCTGGAACAGTATGGGATAAAAATCCCTACATCACCACAAATCATTTAAATAATTTCAAATACAGCACTGTGGAAAAGTCTTGAATCACCCCTCAAGATCTAAAGAATCAACAATGCCAAGGTGTGGCTGATTTTGATATCTCCAATTCAATAAATAAACAGTGTTGGGACTAACGCGTTATTAAGTAACGCGTTACAGTAACTACGTTATTATTGTGGTAACGAGCACGGTAACTAGTTATTATGCCAAAATCAGGAACGCGTTA